GATCGTCTTGGAGTCCTCTTTCTTGGGCGGCCCAACAAGCCCAAATATTCAAAACACATTTGGTTTTGTATGGTTTCCGCATTGCCGCCTTTTTGAGCGTCCAAGGCGGCCCAAGAGGAACCCAAGGTTGCCCTAAAACGGCCCAAGAGCCCCGAAGAGGGGCCCAAGATGAGGAACACAAACTGACATTTTGAGCTCTCCGCCCCAAGATGGCCAAACGATCCCCCCACGCCCCCGAGGTGCGCCCGAAAGGCCCCAAGAGGCTCCCAATCATTTCAAATCAGGCCCCACATTGCCCCCGACGCCCCAAGACAACCCCGAAACCGCCCCCGGGAGGCATCCGCAAGGCTCCCCCAAAGATCCTCACAGACATCCGGGAGGTGTCTGACATAGAACCAGGCGCATTGGTAGGGTGGGCGGAAGGAAAGGTCGGGAACCAAACAAACAACAACAACAACAAAACATGTACACCTTCACAAGAAATCCGCGCTGACCTCAAACTACATTGTTATGCAACTGTTCCTCTAACGGTGCTTGTACTTGGGTTTTTTTTACACCCATTCGAAGCAACTGGGCTGGTGTGGCGGTCTGGCAGCTATGTTGTCGCCGCCGCCCCGCCGTCGCCGCTTCGTCGTCGCGCGTCGTCTGGGCCACTGTGGCGGTCTGGCGGCTATGTTGTCGCCGTCGCCGACCTGTCGCCGCTTCGTCGCCGCCCGTCGTCTGGGCCAGTGTGGCGGTATGGTGGCTATGTTGTCGCCATCGCCGCACTGTCGCCGCCCCGTCGCCGCCTGAGATTATGCTCTCCGGGATTTTTGTCTGGATTTACCACCCGCCCAAAGCCGGGATGACCGATCCCCCTGGAGATGCCCAGTTTACACATGATTCCCTCCCCCAATGTTCCCTATCTAGGCTCTGCCTAGAAGGGTTCTTACTCTCTTAGCTTAAAGGGGCCGGGCAGTGGAACACGCCCCGGGCGGTTCCCCCAGTCCCCTGGGAGCGGTTCCCCCCAGTCCCCTGGGAGCTTTAGCTTTAGCTTTAGCTTTAGCTTAGCTTTAGCTTAGCTGTAGCTTAGCGTTTCGCTTAGCTTTGAGCTTAGCGTTTAGCTTCGCTTTAGCTTCGCTTTAGCTTAGCTTGAGCTTAGCTGTAGCTTAGCTTTAGCTTAGCTTTAGCTGTAGCTTAGTTTTAGCTTAGCTGCTTCTCAGATTAGGCTTAGCTTTAGCTTAGCTTTAGCTTAGCTGTGGCTTAGCTTTAGCTTAGCTTTAGCTTAGCTTTAGCTTAGCGTTACTGCTACTATTAATGCTGCTTTCCTAGTGGTTCCAACTCCTAGGTAGGGTCGTACTGGGATAACTTTTTCTCATATGAACCCGAATCATCCCAGCCAAACCGGTGCCTCCTCCATCCTCGACAAGTACACCGGAAGCCCGTCCACAAGAAACCCTCCACAAGAAACCCAACCCTGAGACCCCAGAACGTCCATGGAATCCTGGTGTGGGAACGTCACGCTTTTCATAGCAAGGCCATCGGATCCCAAGAAACCCAGGGCACCCTGGAGGCAAGTGATTAGGAGGAAGCCGAAGCCTTTCGAACTAAGGGGCGATCTACAGACGCAGATGCTTCGCTCATCAGGGACGCAAACAGCATTGCCAGCGCCCACTGTGCTGGCATTGGTCCGCAGGCGGCCTTGCCCGGCTTCGTCGGCGCCTACTGCGCCGCTGGGTCACAGCTCGGGGGGTCACGTCCCCGCGGGGCCGAGTGCCTGCCTTCCCGTGGCAGGGCGCCGTGCAGGGCGCGTTGCGTCGCCGGGCGCCGCACAGGGCGCAACGCTTCGCACTTGCCTGCCGTTTCGTGGCAGGGCGCCACACAGGGCGCACCCCGACTTTCCCCTCCAAAACACTTCCTTCTTCTCTACCAATCCCGCCCCCCCATCGAGGTAGAGGGGGCGATTGAGGAGATGTACATGTACTCATATGTGTTGTCGGCCGACTTTGGCCGAGAGGAGAGAATGGTCCACCGAAACCACGCGCCCGGCTCGCTCGAAGGATGGGTGGCTGCAAGAAACAAGCTGCTGCAAGAACTGGTCTGCTGGCGTCTTCTCGTGGCGAACTCTCGGCCCAAAACCAATATGCTGGCGTCTTCTCATGGCGAGCTCTCGACTCCGTCTGAGTGGAGTGAGGAGCCCTCCTATCCCTCCCCCCTCCCCCCCTCCGTGGCCAACTTGCTCATTGTGGTTTTACGGCTCAAACAGCCAATGCTCAAGTGACATTTGTTGGCAATTTTGCTTGCAGGTCGCCGAGTTCATCGCGCGGCCACTATGGCTCGCGGGGCGACGCTTCTTGTTCTACCCCCGCTAGTCTGACAATTTTGAGCAGGGACCGACCGTCCCGGCATTCCTATAGTCCTACCACGAAATGTTCCTAGAACCCCAGAATCCGCCGATCCGGCGTGTGAGTTCAAAAAAAACTACAGCCTGAGCTTCAGCTCTGCTGGGGGGGGGCCGGGGTGGCTCTGCTGGGGTTGGGGGGGGGTTCATGGGGTCCACGTTTTCTTTCCCCCCTTCTGCCGGGGTTGGGGGTGGGAAGAGGGTGCTTCGGCAACTTGCTCACTTAACCGTTTGCAAGTGCACATGCATGTCGGCTAAACGATGTTGCAAGTCAGATATGTTGGGTTGCAAGTCGCCTAAGTTTACACAAGTACTTATCATTCGACTGAACATATATGTTACTTCCAGTTACTTAAACAAATTATAACTGAGTTGCAACAACTTATTCAACTAGTTAACATGTTACTTACCTACAACTTGCAAACACTTACCGAAACTTAACTTTTACTTATCACGAACTTTTACTTACTTAGCGGAACTTAGCATGTACTTAACTAACGCGTGCGCACCTCGCGGTTTGAAGATCAGCCCAAAGACTCCAACCGACGTGCGTAACAAGTGCCCAAAGTATGCGCCACACCTGTGCGTGTATACGCACACATGCTTGTGCAATCGAGTGCATGTTCACGCGCGCACGCGTACTCGAGTACGCACGAAAACACGCACGCGCAATGCATGATCACATGCGTGTAGTATGCATACATACACAAATATACATACATATGTGTACACACGCAAATATGCATTTGCACAATGGAAGGTATCCGCGCATCTACATGTATAAACTTGCACACATGTGGTTTTATGGTTATGGCTCGTTAGATGTTGCAAGGGCAGGGCCTCTCGCGTAGCAGGAGCAACTGCAAGCTTTGGGGCCGAACGCGCATCCGCATCATTCGGGCCCTGCGTTTCGGGCGGTCTGCGGGCGGCGGGCGAGGGAGAGGCGGGGGCGGCGATGGAGAGGCGGGGATGGGGATGGGGAGGGGCCGATGAAACATGGCGCGCAGGCGCGACGAGCATCGGCAGCGGGAAGGCCACAGAGGAAGGCCCCCCCCCCGCTCCAAGTTGGTCTCTTCGGCGCGATCCGCATGAGCGGTGGCGCAGGGTAGCGGATTGCCCTGACATCAGAAGCAGGGCTGCGTGGCCGCCGCAGTCGCCCCACAGCCGACTGGGGCAGCTACCCGAAACGCGCGCGCCGCTGATCGGC